GGTGACAAAGTGCCTTTGTCCCACTAAATGACAAGAGGAGGAAGCAGGATCTCTGCTCAGTATTGGCACACTGAGGCACAGCCTAGAGACACCTCACTCCAATGAAGAATCTGGGTCTGGCCACAGTTTCCTCGTAAGAATATCCTCTCCTTTTCCCTCAAAGACCAGCTCTGCTGTGCCAAAACCCACAGCAGCCACACTATCCTCCTCAGCTACTTACCCACTCACTGTTCTGGAAACTGGGAGCAGCTATCCCATGATGCCAAACCCTACAAAAATCAGTTAACTCTGGCAACATAAGTCACACAGTTTGGAGCATATTTCTTCTCAAGTGAGAAAAGGGCTAGACGGGCCAAACTGGGTATGAGTTCACTTTACACCATCGTTCTGTAGTGAAAAAAGGAGGAAGGAGATATAAAGCAGGGGCACAGCAGGACTGAAACTCAGAAAGGCTGAAAAAAGCCAGCCTTGAAGTTCAAAAAACCCACTTCTCAAATGATATTTTCTTCAGACTAGACTTTGAGAAAGTCCAGTGGAGACTGACATTCAAACTCCTTATATATGCTGCCTGTAGCTTGCTTAGTGAAATATTCAATATCTGCCCCTTTATATACTGTCCTTCTGAGGGACTGAACACAGTCACTAATTACAAGTTGAGAAAGGACAGGAAAGAAAGAAACTCAAGGCAGATCTTGAAAAAGAAAAAAAAAAAAAAAAAGAAAAAAAAACTACCACCCTTCAATTATCCATTAAAATACTGTGTTTGCAAGACTATGTTGGTGTGAGCCAGAGAAAGAGCCAGAGAAAGAAGCCTTGAAAAAAAACCACAAAAATACTTCTGTAGCTAAGTCATTATAGAGTAGAAAGGGTTAGCGAGCAATACTAAAGTCACTCTAATCTGCTTTTTGGAGGAGTAAGCACCTTATACTCTTAGATCTTTGTAGACACAAGCAGAAATGGCACATATAAACTTTTGCTACTTTCCTTCTTGTCTTAGGATGGTTAAAAATTTTAGTCATTAATTACACTTACTACAGTGCTGGTTTTGTCACAACTGATGTATCTACTGACAGCCTAAGGAAATCACAGACATATGTGCTAATATGCAAAAAAAAAATGAGTGCCACAGAGGACCAGATATCCCTGTTATCAAGGTCAATGAAGCCTGTGAGCATCATAGGGGTGAGACATTCAAAACTCCAGGGATCAAGATTAAAGATGATATTAGCAGAAGAAGCAGAGCATCTTGTTCTTCAGCAGGAGGTTTAATGCTTAAAATGCTGCCCTAGCAACTGACACACAGCCCAAAAGCATCAGGTAAGACAGAACTAAAAGGTAAAGTGATAGGCAGGTAATGGACAGTATAGTAAACCAAGGAAATTAGAAATTATATTTCCCTTGCAATCATTTAACTACTCAAAGATATCTAGGGGTGCTAACTCCTAGTTCTCAACTTACTTGGCTAATTAATTTTTTCCCATTCTAAAAGCTTCATTTTAATTAGTTCCCAAGTTGAGCTGCTATGAAGAGGTTTTATTTTCATTGTCTTTTTTCTATATTAAAAAACAATGACTTCAAAAATATGCACTCATTAAAAATAATTAGTGATTTTTGATACTGCTAAAATATGCAAGTGACACAGGAAAAATAAGTTGTTGGGGTTTTGTCATAATTTAGTTGCTTAATATCACAACAGAAAAAAAAAAAGAGACATATATTTAAATATCAGAAACCATCCAAGTAGATTAAGTCTTGAAGTCACGAGTGATTAAAGAGAAACTCAAATTCTTTAGTCAGACAATGGATAGGTGCTTACAACGGCTGCCACAAAACACTTTTCATAGTTGCCTTCATTACAGCTTTGAATTTTTCATTCCATAAACTACAGCACAAAGAGCCATGCGCAATACAGTTGATACCATAGCAAAATGTGAAAATAGCATAACTGTCAATTCATTCCTCACATTTACATAGCTGGTTTAGCCTCCAATTAGGATGTTCAGAGTTATAAATACGTACAGAAGTAAACTTTTATATCAATTTATGTCTGTAACAAATGCATCTGTTGACAAGACAGCAATTACCATGGATTAAAAATGAAGTCCATGAAATGTTATGTTACATATTTGAAGATTATGTAGCAGTTTTTTAAATTACTGATGCCTTTGATATAAGCCTTGCCTTGAAATATGAATGTTGTAACCAAAAATAGAAAATGAAACCAGGGAGACAGAAATTTCCATCTTTTTCTTTTATATCTCCTAACTAGAAAATTCTATTTTATTATTATTTTAACCAGGCAAAACACAAGAAGTATTTTTCTAGACTGGATCAAACCTTTTGCTCATTAAGAAATACCACAGTCTTTATTGAATTGAAGTGTATCTCGTGTAAGGCAATTCATCAACCCAAATACAGGTTTAATCAAATACAGATTCAACTTAAAATTTACCAACATCAGTGACATCAACAATGCCTTTGATTCTGGAGTTCAATGACACTGTTCTAATAAACATAAATACATGTTTTAGTTATTTCTCTGTAATTCTCAGCTTTGTTGTTGTTTTCTAAAGAGAAGCATGATAGAACATCCCTATAAAAATATTCAGGTTATCACTTGATTCAATTTACTTAAAGTCTACAGTTTTGCAACCAATTTACATTTAGCATTCATTTCTCATGCATGAGTTGACCCACTTACACATGCAGTAAATCCATGCCTTTGGGGATTTTTCTGGATGGCTTGCTTTATTTCCACCACACAACTCATTTTATTTTGTCAATACAGTGAGCAAGGTTACAGTCATCCTGTCAAATTTATTTATTTAAATTAGAATCAGAAAGACTATATATTACCCCCTGTGGAACTTCACTGAAAATTTTTTCAAACTTTGAGGCTACATAACTTTTGTAATCAACTAATTTCAGATGAAAACAGTGATACAGAAAAAATAGGCCACAGTTACAGCAATTTCTTCTGTAAACTTATAAAAGACTTCAGAAATCCTAAAAAAATATAATCAACCACCTTAATATATATCATATTTTACATGCTTTAAAAAAACTAGACAAAAGAGATTTTTCTAAGCAAGCCTATAGAATAAAGTCAGATGGAATAAGATCATTTAAGAAGCAGCTATACAGGCATGACATCAGCTTGTTTTGACTACCAGAGATACACTTTACCTAAAATATTTCCCCTTGCATCTCTGAGGACAGTTTCAGCTTCACATTTGAGAGGCTTCTTTGAGGTTACTTACCATCCTCACAGTGGGGCTGCTAAAAGGGAGCATTCCCCACACAGAAATTGTCCCAAAGTCACATGTTATTCAAGTCCAAATAGACTTGTGTCTGACAGACAAGCACTTCCATTTTATACAATTTGCTAATGTGGAGTTTCTCTCCCACGTTAGTAGCTCACCTGAACTTCAGTATACATTTGGGGTTAGTGTTTCAATGGACTTACCCCAAAGGCCTATCTGAATTCACGCATCTCATGTTATTTTGGGCAGTATGGGATATAATAGCCATTATAAATCCTTATTTTTAATGCTAGCAGTTTTTCCAAATGCAGTTGCTCTCTTGGGCAGAGGTTTGTTTTCCAGCTTCTCAGTGACAAAATGCTTCTGTGAAGAGTTATGCACCTTTCCACCTGTCTTACAAAGGAAGCAGCCTCATAACAACATCACTCTTTCTCCCACTCTGGACCAGGTAGTTGACCTTCAGCAGGTGAAGAATGTTACCTTCTTAGGGATATCTGTTTTACTACCCCCATGGAATATGGCCTAATAAAACAGTTACACACTGATGCAAACTGAACATCCACAAGCTCAGCAGACCTTTTACCATAGTCAAAGTTACCTAAATTATTCAATTCCACCTGTATTGACAGATTCACACATAATGATTGTAATGACTATGTACGATTCCAAAAAGTACCCTTCAACTTGGCATTTCGGGGTCTAAAAATAATGTTTCTTCCCACATGTTGGGAGCTATTGTCATGTGTACCACGAAGGATTTAGACAGAGAGATCAAGAAAGAGAATCTGAAAAACTTATGGGGACAGAAAAAGAAGTCAGTGCCACCCCTGATGAATCATGAACACATTGTTCTGGATTCCCAGCAATCTTTTCCAGCTTCTCAACAAACAGCTGTAAAATTCCCTAGCAAAGGCTCTGCCTCCCTCTGCCTCTAATGGAAGGTTCACACAGAAGATAATGGTTTACTCTAGGTGCTACTTACTGCATTAGCATAAGCACTTTAATCTCTGTGCTTTAGTTCTTCATCTAAATAAGGTCTGCATAAAAGGGGTTTCCAATACCTCCTCATTTCTTAGGCAACTCTGACAACAATGTAAATGAAAACCACTAAAGAAGTGAGAAAGAAGCTTTAGAAAAACTTCATGAAGAAGTTACAAGTTCCTTTTAGAACATTTTATAGCGTGTGGAATATCATACCATACAGTAAATAAACAATAAATGAAAGAAAATATTAGAAAGCTGAACGTTTTGTGACTATTGTTCTACACAGGGATCACAGCAGGAAGAAGTAACAAAGCACCATGCCGTTAAATAATTTCAGACTTTTTATTGAAAGCGTAGGTAAAGAATTCATATACACAGGGATTAATTTAACACCGTCTTTTTCTCACTTTGCATAATGCTTTGATAATGATCAGTAAAGAAAGATTTTTTTTTCTCTTTTAAGTAGAATACATACTGAGGTTTCAAATGCATTCTCAAAGGTTTCAATTTTTAGCACAAGTTCTATCTAAAATATTACTTACATTTCCACAGATTCATCATTTCTTAAGCATGCGTTCAGTCATTTTCACAAAATCACAGAATATGCTGAGTTGCAAGGGACCCACAAGGATCATTGAGTCCAACCCTTAGCGCTGCACAGGACCACTCCCAAGAGTCACACTACATGCCTGAGAGTATCATCCAAATGCTTCTTGAACTCTGTCAGGATTGGTGCTGTGACCATTTCCCTGGGGAGCCTGTTCCAGTGCTCAACCACCCTCTGAGGGAAGAACCTTTTTTTAATACCCAACCTAAACCTCTCCTGACGCAACTTCAGGCCATTCCGTCAGGTTCTGTCCCTGGTCACCAAAGAGAGAAGATCAGTGCCTACCCCTCCTCCTCCTCTCACAAGGAAGTGGTACAATGCAATGAGATCTCAGTCTCCTCCAGGTTAAACAGATGAATTGACCTCAGACACTCCTCATATGGCTTCCCTTCAATTTCTGAAAGCTTACAAAATATGAAAGCTATAGAAAAATCTGCAAATACTACTCATGGTCATTGAAAAATAATGTGATTCTTTTGCTAAGTCATTTCTAAAGCATTTATTAGGACTCTACCTTTAAAGGCAGAATGATTTCTGCTTACTGAAAATGGGAAGTCAGAAAAACTTCAATACAGAAATATCAGAAAGTCAAAGGACCTGGGGCTTCTCAGAATTTCCATTTCTAGGTATCTATACAAAGCAAGCTTGGAAGATCAATCCACAAACGGAACAAGGTTGGATGTGAATCTATGGATGTGTGTTCACTGCAAAGGAGAGCAGTAGGAGCTCCACCTCCTTGCACAGATACCCTCATATTAGCAATAGGAATTACATATTCAACCTCCTTGTTTCCTGCCAGAAAAAAATGCTGTTGAAGGCAACTGATAGATGCTTAATCACATGAGTTATATGCAGCATATTTGCAGTGCAGCTGTGTGGAATTAAGCCTACAGCATATCAAATAACGAAAAGCTCTCAGAGTTGTAGTTCATGTTAAACTGTCAGAGGAATCAAGGGGAGCAGAAGGCAATCAGTACCATGGTGCATCCAGCCTAACCCATATGCCACAGACATGCAGCAATTCAGGCACTGGTCAGCAAGTGCTTTTCATCCACGTTAGTAGACACAATTGTCATACATGACTAAATGCTTATTTTTCAAGTGAAAAAACAACACCATAAAAGTCATGCTTAGGAATACAAGGACAGTCAAATAAAGAACGAATCACTTCGGAAGCAGTTAAAATCCCAGTGTTGCCCAGAACAGCCTAAGCTCTTTTTGTATGCGATTTAACATGCTTACCCAGTCTCTTTGTTGATGGTTGGTTTGATGGGTGGTTGAAATGTAGACACTGATGTTGTTGTTATTTTCTCCTGTTCCCTATTCTTCTCCTTCACTTCAATTCAATGGAGGAAAAAAAGCCATTGGAGACAAGTATCTGCAGGCTTTGCACTGCGAATCCTACAAATGAAGCCCTGGGCCATGTTAACATCTTCTCTTGCCAATTTTCTCTACAATCTGTTTTAGCAATTTAAGAGATCATTTTGTGTTTGAGCAAGTAAACAGGTTGAACAGCTCTGCCAATAGCTTCCAAATAGGGAGCCATGGCTCATTGTCTGTTAGGGGCAGTTTCTAATTTCTGATGTGCAGATGTGCACAACTACAGTAGCAATATGTTTTGTGTTCTGCTTTAGTTGCTTCTGAAGACATATTTTTATTACATTTGAGGTAGTATCCAATTCCTTATCATTTGTGCCTTTCTCCAGATAACAGGTGTTTAGTCGATTCAAATTATGAGGGAAATCCTGCCCTCTGCTGCATCCCTGAAGCTGTATAAATTTAACTGGCGGTAGAATGTGACCCCTGATACTGAAAAGAAAAAAAAAAAACCACCATGCATCATATTTCATTAAAGACATTGAAAGACAATTAATAAACAGCTTTTCTCACTAAAATCCACATAAAACACTTTCAAAAATACTTCAAGATTTTCATGCTCTCTCTCTGCAGCCAATATAGGTTTCACTAACTTCAGTGAGGAGTTTAAGTCCCAATACAAGGGGGAAACACTCTCTTACCCCATAGCGGGGTGATTCAGTGACCTTCCCTTCACTAACTCTACTGTCCTTCCATAGGGTACCTTGGAAACACGCTTTTTAAAGCAGATTTATTCTGTTTTCTTATTTTCCTTCTTTGCATTATCATACAGTTTTCATTTCATATACAATCCAAACCTACTGGAAAAATAAGTCACATACAAATAAATGAATTAATTGTATTACTTCATTTTGTTAGTTCTCAAAGGCAAGAAGGGCACAGATGTGCCGTGTTTCTTGCTCCTACATGGCTTAATTTCATAACAGCATTAATATGGAAGTGAGAAATGCCTTTACATGGGCTCTCAAAGCAACCAGGGCAACCACTATGAAAGCTTCAATGCATCCTTAGAGTCATACAACCAAGGCAGCAACCTCTACTATCCAAGCACTGGCCTTATCTTAATGAAAGCTTCTCACTCCATCAATTTGTATGGACACCTGTTTTCTTTTATACTTTGCAGACATTTACCAGGAATAGATTTAGGAAAGAGCAGCTTATTTCACATAGGATAAAACATGCTTCAACTCATATAGTTAGACATAAAAGTGCTGTGGCAGTAAGCTGCGGCTCATTGCTGCAAACCACTGAAAGTGTTCCATTTCCCTAAAGAAAATATTATTATACTGAGTTCCTACTTCCTCATTTAGCCAGTGTCATGACAGATCAATAATCTTTTGCCATCATCTTTAATTATTCTGTTCTTTTTGCCGCCTTAATTTTTTCCTTGCAAAACCACAGTGCAGTTAGTTTATTTGCAAAATCACCTATAAAAATACATGGTATGTTTTTCATTTTGAGAATATTCATACTGAAAATCCTCTCAAAGTTCAAGACGAACAAAAACCACTGCAAGGTCCTTTAACAAAATTTACATATTTCTCTGTGTGAACAGTATACATTTTTTGTAGTGACTACATACTCAATGCTAAAAGCATGTTGTACATCAGCAGAACTGGGCTTTTAATGACAAAAAAAACCATGAGATACTGGTGTACATTTTATTCTTTTCTAAGAAACTGCATTCTGGTCCTAATACTTCCATTGTGACATAAAATTAATTCCACAACTTTGGAGTCTTCAGAGGCAGGGTTGCTGGTGGCAAAATAGCAACTAAAATACAACACCCTCTGTCAACCCACTTTCCTTCCACTCCTCCTATGATTTTTTTTCCTCACAAGGTTTATATTCATAGCAGAAGAGATTCTTTAAAAAGTCAGAGAGCACTGTGCAAATATTAACGTATGATGTCAAACTTAATATCAGGACAAAAAAGACAATATTTTAAAAGTATTTATGCTAATTAACATCTATTACCATTAGTTTTATTTTTTTATTTATCTTTATCAAGAATATCTACACAGTTAACTGTGCTCACTTACCCCTTCAATGAAGTTGTTACAATTTTGGTTCAAATAGGCTCTTTGAGAAGTATCTAGTACTTCAAGGTGAAATCAAAACAAAACTGAAAATTTAATAGATATGTTAGTATTCTTCCATTTTTCTATATATGAAAAGTAAAATTAATCTAAAATTATTAAAGTGCTTACCTTTCAGTGTCTTGAAACCTTAATTAGATCCTTAGTCGATGACATATACTGCTTATCTGATAAATACAGAAACTACTCTGTGTGGAATGCATTTCTATAATACAGCAGTTTTCTAATTAGATTCAAGTCATGGCCTATGCAGAATTATTTTTCTAGGATATAATGCTATAAATGAATTCATTATTTAAGCATAAGCAGAAATGAAATACAACTTCTTTTATCATGCACATTTTAAAATTCCATTTTACACATCAAGATTAATTCTTTATAATAGAGTTCCTTACTTGGAATCTCTGTCAGCTGCATACATAGAGAAAAGAAAACAACTCTGTATTGTTAAGATTGGATAGAACAAATCTAGATTGTTAAGACTGGGTGGTTAAAAATGAAGAGACAGGAGTGGTACTTGCAATCACCAAGGAAAAAAACTGAAATAAAACCATTTTTCACATTTAAAAAAGCTATTTCTGAGACTGAAAAGTCGGATAGGTATCTTTGGTTCAGGAACGAGACAGTATCCTAAGTTGTGCAATAAGGTCTTCTGCTAGAAGAGAAACCCCCTTGATCCATTGAAACATAGAGACAGGAAGAAAGCTCTTTCCCATGTCACAAAACTACTTGTTTGTTTTTATCATCTCCTTTTCCCACAACAGAAAACCCAATACTCTTTGAACAAGAGAGAGAGAAAGAGCATGCAAGTGAGCTGTGTCATACTGTTCTGTAGTTTGATGTTGAGAGTACTGGGCTTGGGATATCTAATTAAATTTCTTGGCATGCCAATATCCAAAACTGAGCACCACAGGCCTGCTGCAGGGTACTCGTCTCAACCTCTCCTAACGGAGCAGACTCATGTGAGGGATTAAGTATTCATCAGAGCATTGCTTGTTTCATCTCCTTGATGCACTCCAGAGTTACCCCACGCAAAAGAATCACTCTTGCTTTAGAAAGCTATATAGGTCACAAGAGGACCTCATTTAAGTTCCTGGTCTGAATAAAAAATACAGCTGATTAAAACCAGGGACTCACTGAAGTTTCCCAGATCCCAAACGGAAGTCTTAATGGCCATGCTTTCTGCCACTCTGAAGAATACATCTTCCCCTCTTACAAACCAGTAATTTCAGTTAACTCGGCATGAACATAAGAGATGAGTTTTTGTTCTCATCTTATCTACGCACAGGAGCATTTGCACATCTCTTAAACTAACTGTCCTCTCCATTGGCCAAGGTTCCAGGAAATAAGCCCAAATTTTTCACCTTTAAGAGCAGCTCTGGACATCAAAATCTTAACTAGTCAATGCTTTGGCAAGAATGGTACATCATTGCTGTGAAAAACTAGTATATTTCATTGATTTTTTTTTCCCAATAATATATCAACCTGAAAAAAGTGTTTTCTTTCAAGTATATAAATTCCATCATTTTCTTCTGATTATACTTACATTGGGTGTTTCTGATGCCATGCTGTTATTACCACAGAGAATGATTCAAAAACATTTTCCCAAAATAATCCATGGGGACAAGTTCTTGTAGCAGAAGAATGATCAGGAGGAAAGCCAAGACAAGCTAATAGTATTGATTCTGTATCATTTCTAGTTAACACTAGTTCTTACCTATTTTATATATATCATAACTTGCACTACATATCACCTAATATTCCTTCATGTAGTGAGTTAAACATGTTATGAAGGAATACAATGCAAACAAATAACTTTCCTGGTGAAAGTTAGTCAGTAAGTCAGTAAAAAAAAAATTAAAAAAGAAAATAGTAAGTCAGAAAAAGTCCCATTTTTAAAAATCTGATTCCTGTAAGCTAATGAAACACATTAAGTTTTGCTATTTGCCATTTCTTTCTCATCTTGCAAAACATTGTCTTGCATGTATTTTCTTTTAAAACTCAGCATCAAAATTTTATCTGCTTTTAGAAAACTCCATCTTGCCAGTTATGCTATTTTTTCCGGTTTTACAGCCCCTGCTAAAAAAGAGACAAAACTGTATAACTTACATAATTTATATAGTTTATATGTAAATTAAAAGTTACAAAAGTATTCTTACTCGCTGGCAAATCTATCAGAAAAGGAAAAAGTGTCAAATCATTTTAATAAAGAAAATACTTTGAGCATACTCGTTGAAAGCTGGAGAGGTGAACACACGTTTTCAATGTGCTGTACAAGTCCATGGTATACAGTTACACACACTTCAAAATCAGACATACACAAATTTATCACTAAAATCATATTCTTCACTCACACAGACTTCATCAGAAACACCAACAAACACACTTAGACACACTAGTTCTCCATCTACAATCACTTGAGGTAGCAGTCACATACATTACTGATTTGTTCCTGTGTCCTTTTCAGTCTTTGTAACTCAGGCGTATCAGTCACAATACTGAACCCTCTTCCTTTGCTTTCTTCAAAGTCTCTTTTGTATTTTACCTACAGAATAGAAAATACAGAAGAACAGGGTTGTTTTCATTTTCCATAATTTGCCCCTAGCAATCTAGCAATTCTTTTTTACTGTAAATAAAGCACTTGTAAAAGGCTTTCAGCTTTTAAAGGAGAAGCCTGACTTCATCCACTAACAGAGATAGGCAGCAACTGGACAAAACTCCCCAGTGCCTGAGCAACTGCCTCCTCTGGGGGTGCCACGGGCTCACCTCCACACATACTGCAGCTGTGGAAAGATCAGTCTGTGGTCATTTCATTCTCAGAGCAGTTACCAAAGAACTATAGACGCCCATGCAGCATCAAGCAAGTACCTACACTCGCACAAAAAAATAGCTATAACTAAATTTGGAGGTCTTCTAAAACACAGCTTCCCATTTCACCCTCTCTTCATGATTATTCTACCAGTCTCTTTCCCTGTTGAAACATAAATTACACATTAAAAAATACTGCATGAAAAGAATATTCAGAATATCATGAAGTCAAACACTGATAAGTTAGGGAATGGCTGCCTGTATAAGCTTAATTTTTCCCTCTTGCACATATGCATTCAGATATTGTCTATAATCAGGTACTTATCCTTTGACATATCCTTTGACAAGGCCCCCTGCTTTATTCTCTACACAGCAGAGATGATTCCATATGCAGTTGTATCTTTTTTTTGGACCAGATTATTCAAATGCTACCATCAAGGCAGGAATATTAGTTTTATCAGGATCTTTTACAGAGCTCTCATCACATTAATCAATCTTCATAATGCACCCTGGAAAGTGGGAATGGCAATATCCATGCTTTTAGGGCAACGTGCAAACTGAGGTGAAATGAGCTTAATTTCCAAAAACACACAGAGGTCTCAGGGTGTTCATTCTCAGATTCCTAACAGTTGAATATGTTCAAATTATGGACTTTGAGTTACAAATACCCAGTACTTCTGCAAAATCAGTCTTGGGGATCTCAGTTTCAACATAAAGAAACAAGATGAAATCTGCAAAACATTAAGTCACTGTTGAGCAACAGACAAAACTCTGCAGAGTCAGGACCCATCTCTCCCCAGATGGATTCATCTATCTTACCCATATAAACTTCCTTTTACTTCCTATGTCTCCTGCTTTATTCATACACACATCCAGATTTTGCAGCACCTGGGAGAGCACTAGTACAAAGCAGGATTCTCCTTCACAAAACTGATAACCAGAAAACATTCAGCACATGTACCAAGTTCAAGGTTGGCTTAGGTTTATTTTACAAGCAAGTACCTAATGTTACGATGGTCATGCACAGGAAGAAATACCTCTAGATCATGAATGTTAAGTTTCAGAACGCTATAGAACAGAGTTTGTCCTCCCCATCCTAAATCTCAATGAGGATGTTAATAACTTTTGCTTTTTCTTTAAACAGCATTTTAGCATATATCATTGTATGCAGCTCACACGTAAGCCCATTACACAAATCCTTGAGACACTGCAGTATGTGACCTGATCAATGAATCATTTTTCCTATGTTCCACATTTAGAGGTAGCTGTAGATTTCACACAAGTATAATCTTTTCACATCACCCTGAGACAAAGGAAACAGCACTGCCACTGGGGCTTTTGAGAAAACCATGGGTTGGGTGGCCCATGCCTTTCTGTTCATCTCCCCCAGACTCAACTCCTCTGCACCTTTCCTTCCATTTGACCACTGTATTCAGGTATCACTTTGTCTCCTAAATTTCTAAACTACTCCATCTCTCCTTGGTTTCTTGCTAAATCCCTTTATCCAAGGCGCTCCAATTTTCATTGCCTATTATCTCCCTTCTACCAAATGACTCTCCATCTTCCCACTGACCCTCAGAGGATTCCTTAAACATATTATTCCAGGACTGCTGCTAAGAAAGAGGTCTTGGAAGTATTTGTAAACTTTATTTGAAGTCATACAAAACTTTATCAAAATTGGACAGACTTCCATGGCCAAGGACACGTACCTAACAAAAAAGACTTCCATTTCAGCAAGCTTCAGCTCCTCATCCCTAAATGCCAAGAAAACTGAATTGCTAAACAACTTAACAAAAAAAAAAAAAAATTTAACCCCACTTGTTAATAATTTCAAGGGAACAAAAGTTTATCCTAGTCTCAGCCTTGGGAACTGCTAAGTATTTTGCATAAAAATTCCACATTTGACCTGAAGCAGGCAGCTGACATGGAAATGCTCGGTCTTACTGTTTAAAGTTTACCAGAATTATGAGCAAGTGAACACATCTTACAATGAGAAATGGGCTTAGCCCTGCCTACAAGAGAGATTACCTATTCTTAGAAAGAGCATTTCCTGCTATTAATTCCAAATGTTCTAGCCATTAACTTCAAATGACCTTTATTCATCTTACAGAGGAACAGAAGAAGAAGAAAGGGAGGGAACTAGATAGTTTTAACTTAATATTATTTTAATCCTTCAGTCAGATAAAAAGGGTTTCTACTCTCTATTAATAAATCACTTCACAGGAGTAAGGTTAACTATAGTTCTCAGAGCAGTTACTCTGAAACAATAAAAAAATTATTTAAAACATTAGTAGAGTTAATATATGCATTATTGGATTTTGCTATCTAACTTCAAAACGTAGTTTTGAGTTATAAAAATCACAAAGAAACATAATAAATCATGAAGACCACCACTCTGTGAAATGTAGCCCACTAAAACTACTAATTAGCGTAAGTTCAAAAGACAAAACACCTCAGTTTCCACAAATTGTGAAATAATAAAGATGTCATCAGTCATTCAGTACTTGGATCTAAACACAACTCTTATTTAGTATCAAGAATTAATATGAATGAGGAGGGGACAAAACAACTGCTGATTGACTCCCAATTTCAGATAATTTAAGCGTTCAAGTTTTGCTTGACCAGAAAACTTTTAGTAACTAAAAAATCTGGGATTAAAATGCAAATTAATCGCTTTAAACCAATTTACAGTAGAAAAGAACATTCTGTATAAGAGCTGTAAAAATCACTATAACAATTGACTTAACCACATAGTGGGTCTGTCTGGGATGGAGTCAAATTTCCTCATAGCAGCCCAGATAGTGCTATGCTTTGAATTTGTATCTAGAACAGTGCTTTGGCTATTGCTGAGCAGCACTCACACAGAGTCATCCCTAACCTCACCCAAAGACCAGTAGGCTCGGTGTGGGTGAGGGGCTGGGAGCTGACACAGCCAGGACAGGTGACTCAGACTGACCAAAGGGGTATTACATATCATAAAACACCATGCTCAACAGCAAAAGCAAAGGGGGAGAGTGGACTTCAGTGATTAAGGCATTTGTACCAGGGCCCTACTTCCCAGGAAGTGGCTGGACATTGCCTGCTGATGGGAAGCAGAGAATAAATTTTGCTTTTGCTTTGCTTCTGTGGGTAGCCCTTGCATTTAAAAAAAAAAAAAAAAAAAACCACAAGAAGGTTTTTATTGTATTTTCTCCCTCTGTCCTGCTGAGGAGAGGGAGTAAGAGAGCAGCTTGGTGGGCATCTGGCAGCCAGCCAAGATCAACCCAAATGGGAACCCTTGAAATTTAGTTTTGAAATGGAAATGTCAATAACCCCTAATGACTGAATCATAAATGCAGTCCTTTTCTACAAATACGATTTTCAGCAACTCCTCACCAAAATCCCAGCCAATGGTTCATAATACTTCCCTCTTGGCTCCAAAATTGAGTGCAGTCTCACAAATGCAGAGCACCCTCAGTGGTGACTACCCTGAAAAACTGATCCTTTGAGAGACAATGTGTGGCATAAACATTAGAAATAAAACTGTAATAAATCACCATAAATGAAAAAGTTTTAAGAGAAAATACTTCATGAGAAGTAATTCTGCACAAACCCACAGTGAAAGGAGTAAGTGATTCAACAGATCTTTAACAAATCAAACTTCTCATATTTGTGACATAAGCAAGAGATGTCACATCTCATGACATCTCATTTAGAGACACAAAGACAGGATTGTGTAAATCCATTCATGAGGTCAGCATGAAGAAGCCAGAAGGTCCATCTTACACTGAAGGACAGAGGGTTCATCTTACGCGGTACATAAAATATTACGCTGAGAAAATGCTGCTTATTTTTTTCACAGGTACACTTGGTACTTGGCAGCAAAGCCACCTATTAGCAAAACAAGATTAATTTTTCCTGGTAAAAATACTCTGAAAATATAAATGGACCCTAAAAGATTGATTATACTCTTGGGGTTTTTGGCACCTACCCTTAGTCCAGACTGATTTGCAATACCAGAAGTACATATTAGTTGGACAAACAACACAGGAGTCCAAAAACACCTAACAAAAAAAGCAGAGCAAGAATACAATATGGTGGATCCTCATACTCTTATCCATCCCATCCCTATCAGAAAGTTACTCAGCTACTACAAAGCAAACATTAAATCACCAAAAGCTAAGGCAGTGTTAAAAGTTCGTTTCCTGTACAGTCCCTTCTCCACTTCCCTGTACAGACCAGGTAGCTGTGTATTTAAATCTCCTTCCTTATTCTGACACACTGCATAGCCCCATAGATTGGCATCATCATGCCTCACATCCAGCAAGGAAGGAATAAGCATGGTAGAATGGGAGAATAGGACCCCTCACACCCACATTTGCCCTGAGAGGAATCTTCATAGACCTACAGTCTTTACCACACCCTGAATATTTATGAATTTGTTTCAGTATGTTATGTTTGAGGTTTGCCCAAAGCCATCTGCTCCTTCTGTGCCCAGCACACACAGCTACCTCCCAAAGGTCACCATCTGCTAATACACTGGTTTTCACAGACTGGCAAGAAATCCTCTCCCACAGTAAAGGTCCTAAAGCACATCTTGGCAAAGATGCCTTTGTTTGGTTCTGCTTATTTCATAGA